TCTTTACGGCGAAAAAAAAAAAAACGTTGGTGAACTTTTGGTTGGGAATAACAATTTTTTAAAAAAATATAAATTATTGTGTGATTTGCGTGGTACAATTTCGACAAAAGTATTCAACAGTACACGTATGCTGACCAATAATAAGCAGTTACGAACATGAATGAATAAAATAAATGAGATAATCAAACAGGATATTCGTACTTTTTTTGAGGATGATGAAGTGTCGATGTTATTTCCAGGTAAAAAAGATTGTATAACGAAATATAAAATTAAAAAACAAAAAAGAGTTCTAACTGATACCTTAAAAAATCATCATGTAAAATTCCTGGGAAAAGTTGATTACAAAATTAGTTATGTGTCGTTTTGGAAATTAAAGCCATTTTGGGTTGTACAACATAAAGTTTCTGAAAGGGACACATGCTTGTGCAAAGTTCATGCAAACATTCAGTTTTTAGTTTTAGCGTTATTTAAAAAGAACATCTTTGATAATTCTAACATAAAAGAGTTTGCTCGTCATGTATGTTGTCATATTGATAATGTGGCCTGTTTGCAAAGAATGTGTGGTAATTGCATGGAGTTACAAATACCGTATAATTTATTTGAAGCAGATACTACAGTCACCTACTTCAAATGGCAAGTAAGAAGTGAAATGTTTACAGACAAAAACAATAGAACTAGATCTGTAAAACACACAGTGAAAGATAAAATAACTGTTACTGCCATGGACGCTATTAACACCTTCAATGACGAATTTATAAAGTTTTTATACCGCGAAGGAAATGTAATTCATCAGTTTCGTGCCATAAAGATGCTGAAGTCAAAACTGAATCCATATGAGGTGTTGATCCACAGTGACTTCTCAGAAAATTACTCAATGAAATATTCCACAGAAATTTAGGCATTTCATTTTGGTGGTAGTCGCAAACAATATACTCTTCACACGTCACAGATATATTTTAAAAAAGATGAGTACAGTTCAGTAGCATCACAATTGATGTGTACTCTATCTGAATGTTTAGACCATGGACTGTTTGGGCACATCTTCAACCTATTTTTCAATTTATAAAACGCACTGTTCCACAAATCACTATTGTACATTTTTTAACAAACAGTCCTACAACACAATACCGGAACAAAACTATATTTTTTCTGATCACCCATGCCCTTCAACATTCAATAGATGTTTCTCTATGTACCTGGAATTATATGGAAGCTGGTCATGGAAAAGGTGCTCCAGATGGTGTTGGAGGGTGTCTAAAGAGAACAGCGGATCGAGTTGCCGCTCAAGGTGGAGACATAGATTGTTTTGAAAGCTTTGTGAAGGTTTTAAAAGAGAACGTCAGAAAAGTAGAAATAATTTTGGTTTATGAGCATGAAATCCAATCAATGAAAAGTATTATACCATCAGATATCCCTTCTTTCAAAGATACTTTTAAAGTACATCAAGTTGTGCTTATGAAAGAGTTTCCCAATAAATTAGTAATGATAAAACTCAGTTGTTTTGATTGTTATGATTGTGACAAGTTTTCTTTAGGATACCATAATATTATTTTACAAACTAATGAGACAGAAGATTGCCTAGAAAATGTCCCAGTTGAAGTTGAATATGATGCACATACACAACCAACATCGTCAACATCAGGACAACAGTCAAAAGATACTTCCTACGCCCCCGGAACCTACCTTCTGGTGAAGTTTGAAAAACATTCTAAGAGGTCTAAAGATGTTCTAGGTTTTCGTTACGTTTGTTGTGTTGAAAAACAGGACGAAGATAAGTCTATCACTGTAAACGGACTAAAACAACTTGGAAACTCCTCTACAGAATTTATTGTAACAGAAAATGATAACTGTGTAATTAGTATAGATCAAGTTTTGCAGGTGCTTCCAAATCCAAATTTGTTATTAAAAAAAAGAAAAGTGGTATATTTGTTTCCTTTTAAAGTTAATGTCAAAGAACTCTAATGATAATTTAGAATTGTAGTGTTTTAAGTTGGGTAATTATATAGACTAGTAATCAGTAAAACTTGATTCCCCCAACAAAAAGTTCATAATGTATTATTTAAAGTTTTTATAGATGTAGGTATTTTTGTTTTAATATTTTAAACCAAGGTTTGGTTACGTTTAAATGTATTTAAAGTCTGTTATATTGTTAAGACTGTTATATTGTTCAAGACTGTTAATATTGTTCAAGACTGTTAATGTTATGTTTTAAAATTATAAAAAGGAACTTAAATTGTTTGTGATATTAAAGGAAGATCTCACAACAAAAGATATTAATTACTATATTATCTATCAACAAATTGTGATTGTTAGTATTTTCATATTTTTAAAATTTTAAGTCAAATGTTAAAATAATTTTTTTAAGTGACTGTTATATTGTTAAAAAGTAAATATTTTGTAGTTTTAAGTTACAGCTGTTGTTGATATTAATTTGTATAATGTATATATGGCATAATATATATATAATATATATAATATGTGCCTATTTTTCATAATTTCTCTCTCCCTACATCCAATCCTCTCTCCCTAAATTTTAAAAAATTTCAAAACTTAAATATATACAAAAAAATTGATGATTATGTGTGCACACTCAATGAGGTTTCTGTAAGGTATATACAGATAAGTAATTGACAAAAAAAAATGGGGATATTTAATTTTTAATATTGGAAAAAAGTGAAGCTTGAAATAACCCATAATTTTGAAATGACCCGCAGCTGCATATTATTACAGAAGAATCTGGATTTCTGATGCTTAGTACATAATTTATACCCTATGAGCGCTAGTAAAAGTTTCTAGATTATCGTTGATAATAAAAGAAACTATGAGCATCATTAAATTGTTTCTTATCATAGTTCGTTGTGCAACCATTCTATCTTTAATCGTGGTTTAGAAGGAAAAAATCATATTTTATTCATTAACAACTACTTTACATTTATCCATTTTTCCAAAACATAATGAAAAAAAAAATTAGTACGATTAGGTCCAATAGCAAATACCTCCCAAATTGTTTACCTGACAAAAACTTAAAAAGAGGAGACTTTAATAACTTTGTAAGTAATCACAACATAGCAGTTTACAAATGGATGGATAAAAAAACCTGTGTATATGATATCATCCTTACACACCCAATGACACTTTCCAAGTAAAAAGAAAACTCAAAGATGGAAATACTACTATAGTACTATGGTCCCCTGTCCAAAAGTGCTTATAAGTTACAATAATAATATGAATAATGTTGATGTTTTTGATCAGCTAAAAGCAGCATATGGAATCAACCAAATAGCTAAAAAATGGTGGTATATTTTATTCTTTCATTTTCTTGATATGGCTATAGTCAATGCTTTTATACTTTTTAAAGAACTTAATAAAGAAAAGATTTCTATGAAAGACTTTTGGAAGCGAATAGTTGATGGTTTATTTGCTCCAAATCTCCAAACCTCTAAAAATAAATAATTGCTCCTGTCGTATTTCCAAACATAAATCACATATTTCTTCTGAAGTTTGATTCCCAAGTTCTGTACATCAGCCCCCCCCCCCCCCGTGGGACGTTAAGAAGATGTGGATATTGCAGCACAAAAAAAAAATCAAAAAAGAACAGAATAGCTGTGTGACACGGTACGCAGCGGCAACCAGTACAAAGTACAGGTACCGCAGCGGCCGGTCTACGTTTTTGTCAACCGCCACCACGGGCTACAGCGCGACATCGCCAACTCTCCCACCGCGCCACAAAGGCACAAGGCGCAAGGCACAAGGCAAGTCGCGCAATACGAGTACCGGCCGCCGGCAATTCGCTCTCTCGTTTTTCCGACACCGTCCGGTACGCATCAAAACCACGACACGTTTTTTTTGTATTTATCCACCACCGATATTTATATATTGAACAACTTTGTTTCTTTACAATAAAGGAAAATTACACCTTGAGTGCGACGTTCGTTGGTTCTTTCTTTCTTGTTATTATAATATTATTATTATTCCGTTTGTTTGTTTTCAACCCGACAGTATCCGTCGATCACCATCACCACATCGACGTCCACGCGGCACAGACCAAGTCCGCGTCAATTGGCTCCCCGCAGAGGAATCTCCTCAAGTCAGCGACAAGGTAAGAGTTTTCACGCTGACACATACCTCGGATTAACTGCTTATATTTAATTAGTAATAAGTTATTCGACCAGGAGTGTGTTTGCCGGTTAGCTAGGACCCCATAGAGAACATTACGTAACAATTATTTTTAGTACGTAACAGGGAAATCCGCGCAGCCGTGCATAACCGTGATACGGATTGGGAAGTAGTTATATAACAACTACCACCCCTCCGCAACGCCTACCTTTCGCACCGCGACATTATCGCCGATAAAAACAGAGCGCGCAGGCCAAAAACCGGTTCAGCCGCCGCAGCCGACAGCTGCCACCACCGAGGTCGTTGACCCAGTACCATTATATTTGGTACGCAACGGCGGCACTGTCGTCAGCTGATCTGTTACACAATCATAAATAACAAATATATAAATTGTCGTAGCTAGCGCGCGAAATTTATCGAAAAAAACAAAAAGCCTCCTCAAAACCGTGCACACCGCGCAACAAGCACAATCCACTGACCATACAACAGCGTAACGACCACATCGGTAAACAATTTTACACAATGTCGGAAAAAACGTTACAGCAGTTGTCGTCGGCGGAGCTACGTAGCGAGTGCACGGCCCGCGGCCTCAGCGCATCCGGGACGAAGTCGGACGTGTACGTCCGGCTAGAGGAGCACCTTAGGGCAAGCGGACTAGTCCCCGAGAATGTGAAGTTCGTAACAGTGCAGCCTGGAACCGTAGGATTCCAGGGCAGTACTGAACAACAACAACACATGACATCAACGCTGGAAAACACGAACGCCAGCCAGATTTTCGGACAACCGCCTGGGGGAATTTTGACAAGCCCAACAGCAAGTCAAAAACCCACAGACAACCGGCCAGAAATCGGCGGCTTCCAGTCGACCATGCAGCAGGGCCAGTCCGCACAACCTTTAACAACCGACATTTTCGAAACCGCGGCGAAACAACTACATCAGTTAAAATTAATGTTGCCACAAACGAACGACTCAACATCGTTCGAGGCACGTTTAGGGGCGTTGGAAGCGAGCATGACGCGGTTCTTCACAGAATCGCGCCAGGCAACCACCCAACCGCCAAACAGTGTAGCAACCCCGCGGTTAGATAACCACCCATCACCCGTACAGATACCAAATCGTACACACGATAGTCACCAGTCGGGTAGGTCATATGAGCTCAATGACGGCGGCGCTCAACACAGCGCCAGCCACATTGCCGACGCGAACAACCGACCGTTCTTCGCGCGCGAAACTAATGACTATACGGGTCACACCACACGCGCGTCACAATACGCGCCGTACGAAGCACGCGCGCATGAACGCTCGGTACTAATACCGTACGACGACTTGCGCACAGCAAGAGCTTCGTTACCCGAGTTCACAGGAACAAGGGCCGAGGACCCCGTACGGTACATTAATAATACCGAGTCGATTTTGGTGCAAGCTCGTATACACCCCTCGGGCTGGTGCAGGGCGGTCGAGCCGCAGTTAAAAGGAACGGCGAGTGTATGGTACGCATCCATAAAAATACTCGACCTATCCTGGGAAGAATTTAGGGTTGAGTTTTTAGAAAATTACAACAATTCCGAAATCCAATCCCAACTGCCCGCCGACATCGTGTCAACACGACAAACGTCTAGACAATCGCTAACGGAATTTGTGCTAGTTAAAAACCAGCAAGCGCGCCGCGTAAATACCGGCCTATCCGAGTCGGAATTGGTAGGTATTATAGCAGGATTAACGCGCGACACTTTCCGAACACACATCCGTCTACAACGGCCATTGACGTTCAACGAGCTACGACGCATCGCAGGCGTTTTGGACCCGGTAACGGACAGCACCAAACCGACCCCCCAACAATGGGCCCCTAATCCCAAAAAAGGGGCGGATACCCCACAAACAGCCGCCCCGGTCAAAAAAAAATTTTTTAAAAAAACAATAGATGAACACCCACCGGGGCCGTGCAGGTATTGTGGGGAACTCCACTGGAACAGTAAGTGCCCACACAAACCGACCACGTCGGGAAACGGCGGGGGAGTCGACGGGGACTAGTCCCCCCCATCGACTCAACACCACCCCCCACCCATCACCAACCACTATCGGTAGTACACACGGAAAAAAAACACGTAATCGAAAAGCGCGTAGTTCGGTAATTCAACACACAGAAAAACCAACTACGAAAATTTTTTCCGTCTCATCACCAATCGGCACCCGTTCACAGACCCCCAACCTACACCACCCCACCACAGAACACACTCACCTCACCGGTGACACGTGTGTTCAACAACAACCGGCTCATGGGGCAGCCACAGGTGTAGGGACAAAGGCAACAGAGACACGGGTGTTCACCTGCACAGGTGACGGGGATACAAGCACACACACCACGCTTATCCCCGCATTAGGTCAGTCTGCGCACGTAAAGCAAGAGGCGAGCAACGAGGCAAGCGACGTTGACAGTATGGTCATGGCGGTTGACACCGACGACCAGACAGTTCCCGTCGCGGTTAAGAACCAATTGTCCAGCTCGACCGATTGCACTACGACTAATAATGATACGCGAACCCGCCCAGACAAAATTCCGACCCCCGCGGTCGAGCTCGAATTTCCGTCAGGCTTCGTAACAGCTCTATTAGATTCGCAGGCACAAAAATCGTACGTAAACCCGACAGTAGCCCGTAAATACGGCAAAACACCTCCCCACGGACCAACGAACACAGTCCGGATGGCGGACGGTCACACTGCAACAACCAGTGGCACCTCCACATTCGAAGCTAGGATAGGTACACTCGATATAAAATTCGAAGCTACCATCCTAGACAATTTGTATTGCGACGCGTTACTAGGACACGACTTTCTTGTAACCAATG